TTCTTCCATCTAAAAACAGCTTTTTATTCTGGTAAAAAGTTGGCAGCACTGGTTGCGATTCTATTTATAGAATGCCAATAAGAATGCATGAATGTATGTGTGTGTGTGTGTGTGCACACGCATAGCGCAAATGCCTGAGCTGCGTGGCTTTGTCAACTGGCCTCACGTTTACTTCAATAACTTTTATGCTTTTTAATACATTTTTATGAAATTTGCAGCATATCATCAAAATGCGCCATTGAATATGTAGAAAAATTTGAAAAATTCAAATACCGTTAATATAAGCCAGAATTTACAAGGGAATTTCATTTCAATTGACTTCTGTTAAGGAAAAAAAAAATTAAATAAATAAAAATAAAAAATAAAATGATATCCAATTCCAGAAATTAAATACAAAATAAAGCCAACTGTACTTTCAAATATGTGGAAGATATAATGAAAAAGAGCCGTGTCTCTACAACTGCTTTTGAGCTAGATCTTGGCTCTATTATTAGCCACGCCCTCTTCTGCCTTCAGCTCTGAGCAATATGCATCACGTATAAGCCACAAATATTAATCACATTCTGAGACTAACAAAGGTAAACTTCAGTTCAGCGCTACAAAGACAGTTTAATCTAAAAATTTCAGTTTCTCATTATGATAGCAAATCACAATAATACAAAAAACAGAACAAAACCCATGCATTTTCATTAAAACTCTCATTAAGTTGCGCAATTATTCCAATGTAACTATTTTAATAACACTAATTTACCTTCAGCTTGCAGCTCTCGCTTTTGCCCTATGCCACAAATTGCAGAGAGAGAGCGAGAAAGAGAGTGAGATTGAGGGAAATAAAATGGAAAATAAAACTGAATCACAAAACATTCATGCGCTGATGAATTCCTGTTTTGCTTTATGCTTATTAAATGCTTTGTTAAGCTCGAATTCTTTATATGCGAGTTGCTTTGCTTTATTATTACAATAGAGCGCGCGGTTCATTAGGGGAGTTGGAGCTGTCGAAGGCGACATTGGGGATGTTTGGCAGAATGAAACTTGCCGCTCTGCGATTGTTGTAGAAACACATTTTATGCTTTGTTAATCTGTATGGAAATGTATATAAATATTTTATAATAATATTTAAGATAATTGATTTCTGGAGACTTTAGCTTGAAATTATGTATAAACTAAAGATCGTAGAGTTATGATTATATTAATGATTTATGGATATATTCGAAGTTAAAATAATAAGGTCTTATGATTTCATAAAAAATTTCCATAAGACTTTTAGCTATGCTTGAACCAGGAACTTTACATTCAGGCATTTGGATTTTGTAGAATCATACATAGTATATT